GAACTGCTACCTAGCAGTTAGCAGCCCAACATGTGACCACCATGCCACCAGTGTTTGGTGAGGAATTGAGGTTGTGCATAACTTACATTTCTCCCTCTGTTCTCTTAGTACTGTAGAACATCGTCTTCCATTCTCAGCATCTTATTTTAAGTTCTAATTTGCATGGGATTTTTTTAATAAGTCACGTTAATATGTATGACATGTCAAGAGGGATTCACAGTGGTTATTTCAGTAGTTCTTGGTGGCAGCGTGTTCTTCGGTTGATGGGAGACACAAATGATCCCCATCGCCAGTTTTGCTTTTCAGTCATATGGTCCATCTTCCATTGTTCTCCACTAAGGAGCTTTCAAACCCAAACTCACAGCCATCGAGTCAATTCTGACTCAGAGTTACCCTCTGGGCCATGTAGGACTACTCCTTTTGAGTTTCTATGGCTGTAACTCTTTATGGGATTAAAAAGCCTCATCTTTCTCTCTTGGAGCAGCTGGTGTTTTCAAACTCTTGACCTTGAGGTTAGTAGCCCAACTCATAATCCACTCTACCACCAGGGCTCTTCTAAGTAACTCTAGAGGTTTCTAATATATATGTAGCATTCTATACTTTGTATGTGTTGAAACTCATGCCTCTCTCTCTTTATCTTTTTCTCCAAGATTTACTTAAAAAATATATAATATATATATGGATTGTTAGACCTGTCCCATAGATTTGGCTCATCCACTTTGTTAACTGAGCTCCACAGATTTGAGAATCTGCTTAGTCACTAGACCTAGGTATTCACCGATGGTCAAGGGAGAAACTCAGAAGAGACAATGGAGTGCCGCTCTTTAGTATCTGGATTTGGCCATTCCTGACACCTCAGCAGAGAGGAGAAAATATTTTGAGCAATGAGAACAAATCATTTAAACTCCACAAGGTGTGAAGACATAGAACTAGTTTTGAAGGGGCCTTTTGGTGGGTCCTCATTTCTCTGAGGACCCAAATAACCATTCCAGGAACCCAGTTAGCTCCAGTTTTGGGCTGGGTCATCTCATCTTGCTCTGATGAGTGTGTTGTAAGGGGTAGTCCAATGTGATATATTCGTGGTCTTAGTAAACGGTGCTCTGTGAACCGTCAGCCGTGTTGTTTGACATCCACAGTCATGGTTTCGGACAGTCCCTTCCTTTCAAACTGACTGAACAATAGAGGGAGGCCGTCATGGTGAGGGAGTCAGTTGATAACTGAGCCGGCTTCGTGGGCTGTGGTCACATCCCAGTCCCAAGGCTGCTGTCAGCTCCCTCCTTCATCCCTTTCAGGGATGTCTGGACTTCAACTTATTCTTCAAGGAAGCACAAAGCAGTGTTTGGACACCGACTTTCTTGACAGATGGAAGAAAGGTGAAAAGTTTAGTTTTAGTTAGTTTAATGGGTAAATCTCTTCTAAGGTGCTATTCTCTCTCTCTCTCTTTCTCTTGCTATTTCAAGAATTCTTGTCACACCATAATGAGAATAATCTTATCTAGCAAGGGAATTCAATTCTGGAAGGCTCATAAAGGGTTAGACGCTGCTCAGAATTTTTCTTCACTGCTGAAGTCTTTACTTGCGGTTGCCATATGAGTCCTGGTATAAGTTCACTTATGCCCCGAAATGTGTTACAAAATGTGAACTAATGAAGTGCTTTGTGCTTCCCATGTGACCTGTTACCTCAGACTTCTTGGGGGACATCTTAGAGGCTCCCAAATTAGGCACTGATGCTTCAAGAGGAAGGTTGAATGCCTGGCATTTTGTTGTTGTTGTTGTTGTTCAATATGGAGGCCAAATCTCAAACCTGGATGTCCTACTGTGTCACCCAGTTTTGCTTCCAAAGGTGAGCTGCAAGAAGACCCTGAAGGAGTGAACTGTCATTTAATTGTGCAATCCAAAGCGTTGCTGCAGAAGAGCCTCCTGTGTCATTTGGCTCCCGTGTTGGACTGTGAGCACTGCTGCATCTCGGCCGGGCTTTTGTCACCTTTTGTAGGAGACTATTCACTGTGGGACAGGTGGAATGATATTGTAACTCTGGTGTCCTAACACATCTTGGTTAATAAACTTCTTCGCACTTTCCCGCTGCGTTTTAGTGTGTATCTGTATCTGGATATAGAAATGAAAGTTAGTGTGTATCTGTATCTGAATATAGAAATGAAAGTTAGTGTGTGTCTGTATCTGAATATAGAAATGAAAGTTGTCGTGTGAATGAAGGGGCTTTGTGGCTTTCAGCACTGAGCAACCAGTCATTGCTGAGTTGCTTGCAAGCAAACACCTGCATAGATGGAGTCATGTGCTGG